CACATGGGCGACGCCAGCTCTGATTCCGGACTCCCGCTTTCCAAACTTTTACGTCTGACAAAACACAACTTCAGAAAGTTATCTGATACATTGCTTCAATCAGGGTTCCGTACAACGCACGAAAAGGAACAGAGAGAATTATTTATAATAATAAAATTGAACACCCTACGAGCCGGCATAAACGGGAATGCCGCAACACTGAGCTGCTTACAACCGTAATTGTTATGCGTCCGTGACCCCCCCTGGACCCTGACAGGGTATTTGTGCTTGCCGAGGTTTTTAGTTTTACGTGACATATGAGAGCCCAACTACCCAGAATAGAATTTGCGTCTCGAAATTCGGTTTCTTTCACCCGAAAACCGCCGATCGAGAACTGGCCGGTTCGAGTCGCGCTCAGTCTCTTTTCTGTGCTGACGGGCCGTTTTCTAAGGTTTCAACGCGACCACCAAATTTAATTAAAGACGTGGGTCATTGAAGGTACACAGTCAATACTAAAAATTAAAAGAAAAACTACGAAACCCATTTTTTGTGGCTTCCAAAAAGCTGCAAATACGTTCATAAAAAAAGAAAAAAAAAAAAGGTTGCGCAGACGACAACCGGGAGCATTGTGTGTGTTCACTGCACAATTCTCGACATGGCGTCGTTACGCGTTTCGTGGAACTCGCGGGTAGCGCCGGACGACGGGCGTGGGACCTCTACTTCAGAACTCTTCACGGTACCGGCGAATTCTGTCTTCCTTCGAAAGATACATTTTGGACCGATCGAAAGAACTGATATTCATCCCGTACGACACGCCCGACCAGCAAGCCGATTGCACGAAGACGTCGCCGAGCCGTCGTCCCTTCTCGTGACTGAAGACATCGCTCACTCAAACGTCAAGCACGAAGTGCGTACATGAGTTGAATACGCACACGTGTGGCTTTTTATTTGGTGCGAATGTGGCCAATGCATGGTGCTGCCCGACTTCTAGTCAGTGCAAGTAGTGGAGGGAAATCGGCAGCAAACTTTCCGACATTCAGTCGACTTGATGCATTACTACAAACGGGAGCCTTTTCACTAGCTCAGCCGTATGGTGCGGGGACTAAACCACAAAGGCGATTTTTTTTTTTTTTTTTGAGGGCATTCAGTGGAGCGGCTCTCCAAACAAGTATCTTGGAGCTCCGCTAGATCACTTGAAGAAAAGCACGCCATATTGGGAGAGTGTTACAAAGGATTTAAAAGAACGTACGGGTAAATGGGGTGGTCGCAACATGGCAATTTTGACAAGAGCTACAGTGTGTAATATTGTTTAGATGCGGAGCATCTCTTGCTCGGGCTATGTCCCGCGGCGTCGTAGTCCGCACTCACACTACGCATGCGCAACTCTCCTCGCTGCACGTGCGTTCTCTCTTTCTCCAACAGCTGCGCGAAGTGCACGCAGCTACCAGCTGCGTCCCTCTCTCCAACAGCTGCGCGTGCGTTCTCTCTCTCTTCAACAGCTGCGCGAAGTGCACGCAGCTACCAGCTGCGTACACTTCGCGTGCGTTCGCTTCTACTCACACCGCGCGCGCAGGCGCAACTCTCCTCCTCTAGTTTCTTCTCCTTCAAGTTTGAATATAAGCAGCGGTAGCGCGCTGCGCGCGTTCAAGGGGAGGAAGTGGCCGAGTGGGTTAACGCGTCTCAGCTCGGAGCGTGGAGCGAAAGCTTGCGCTGGGAACCTCCTGGGTTCGAGTCCCCGGCACCCCCGCCCGTTTCGATCTGGATGAGTTTCGTACCGGCACGCGTTCGTGTGATGACTACTGCGTGATGCACGTTAAGAATCCCAGGTTAGCGGTTTTACCACACTGGCCAAATTTCTCATCTACAGCTAAGAGACCGATTACCCGTTGAGGCGCATCTCCATCAAGGCTGTATAAACATAAAGAGCAAGCCAATTTTTGCGCGCGTTCAGTTCACCGCTGTTGACTCCACTTCACTCCGTTCTTCCAATGAAGTGTAATGGAACGATGCTCCGCATCACCCCATGGTTCCCCTCGGGGAGATGGTGTAATTTTTTTTTATTGCAAAACTTTGGTCCGTTTTACAAATATTCTACTGCACGCGCAGCTGTGTTCAAAAGATGCATAGGGTGCTTGCCTCGTTTATTTGGATGAGTGCTGGGGAGCCGATACGAAGACAATATTTTTATGCGTCCTTCCAAAGGAGGACTTGGGTTACCAGACTTGTTAATTCGACAACTCGCTTCGCGTTTTCTTTATTTACGAGAACAGAGGCACCCACTTCTGCGGGTTATGTTTCAAACAAGGCTAGCAAGCTTCATACCGCCTTTCGTTGTATCTTCGGAGATCGGACCCCCTGCAAAGATGGTTGGATTTGTCAAAGAGGTTATTGAAGCTTTTAAGTTCTTAAGTGTAAGGTATTCTTACGAATACTTGGCTTCGGTCACCCGAAGAAAGTTGTATCGCGACTTGCTTGACAACCTTTTTCCCGTACCGCTGTATCGGAAGTTTTTCGAAGATAAGCCAGGACAGGACGTCTTGGCTCGCGTTAAGAAAATGGCCATGCCTCCAACAGCAAAGTCGTTTTTCTTTCGCTTGCATAGCGAGACCTTGCCTGTGAAGCTGTGGCTTGGAGATAGGGGTTTAAGTGTGCCTGCCGGAGTCAACTGCCCACTGTGTAAAGAACCCGAAACGATTGAGCATGCCTTCCTGTACTGTTTGGACGCCATTTTTCTTTGGGATGTTTTGAAAAGAATCTTAAAAAAGGAATTATGCATAACGTCGTATTCAATACGATTCCTTCCTGTTGAGCTTTATTCTGATGTTCCATATGACATGATTATTGTTCTTACGCTCTTCAGCTTGTGGAAATCTCGTATGTCTGTGAGGCATGCTGAACAGCCTCCCAAAATCTGCACGCCTGTTTTTCATTGAGATGATTACACAAGTCAAGTGTGTATATGAGTACAGCCAGACCCTACCCGAGTCGGCAGATACGTTGGAGAGTTTGTGCAAGATAAAAGAATTTTAAATGTACAGCTGCCCGAAAGCATCGGGTAGTGGGTTTTAGTGTGAACATGGAAATACGCGCTGAATAAAGAAAAAAAAAGCTTAGTGGTAAGGTGAGAACGTGGAAAACAATTTTTTCAGTAGCTCAGCGGAAAGACGTCCGCTACACACGCAGTGGGCACGGGTTCGAATCCTAATGACGGGCGGACCTTTTTTTTTTTTTCTTTTTTCAGATATTTTGCGAAATTACATTTATTTGTCTTACAATAATTACTGAAAAAAAATTGTTGTGGACGATACGTCGCTGAACTAAATGGTATGGGATTCCATTTTTTGACACCTCTGCCGCACAATGCCACTTTCAGATGTGAGGCAGCTCTTCAAGCAACATCTTGCGAGTATTCTTTTCGGAGCCGATCACGGGAATTCCCCACGGGCACTCACTACTAATTGCCATTACTTAAATGTACAGAACAACTCATCCTGAAGTACAGAACAACGAGCGGAACAAACAGAACTGCAAAGCAATCGGACAGCAAGCGGATACCGAACGCATTTCTTCTGCTGCGCCCGGAAGAAAAAAAAAAAAAAAAAGAAACATCGCACGGTCGGGTGAAGCCACGTGACTTCCGCCACTCACTCACTCCTCTCCACAGCTCCGTGCGGTGCGTGGGTTTCGGTTTCAGTTTCGAGCAGTTGCGTTTCTTTTTTTTTTTGGCTTTATTAAAAAAATGCGTCACTCTGTAGCCAAATATTTCTTGGGTGGTATTCCGACACCATATTAAATCGCGTGGCAAAAACTGAGAAAAAAATTTGCGGGGTGTCAGTGTCCCTTTAAGGGGGAACAATAGAGCGGGCAGAACAAACTCTCTTTAAGGAACGTCTTCTACACCGGAAGCCATTTATTTAAAGCAAGACCTTTGCCCTGGCGCAGGGGCTGGGCGGTGCTTGTGGTTCTCAGCGCGCCCGAGAGAAACAGGGGGGGGGGGGGTGTCGAGTTGCAACTTGATCGTTGGCAGCGTCGCCTCTCGACTCGGTGTATTGTGGCCTTGCGCCACCGACCGATCCCGCCATGCTTTCCTTTTGTGTTTGCATGATTCCCTCGTTTTCTTAGTTTTTTGTTGTTTGTTGCGTGGTTCCTTCCTGTCCCACCGACCGACCCCGCGGAGCTTTGGTCGTGTGCAACCTTAATTCTTTCAACTTTTTTTTTTTTTGTCAGGGGGCGGGTGGTGTTTGTTGACCTAAAGGCACTGGATGTTGACCGTCCGCACTCTGTCGTGACCTAATGAAGAGCGGTCCCCGCTCGGAACATCGTCCAATAAACATACAAGTATATCATAGGCAATCCCTTTCTGAGCCATATCTTACGGCACACCATTATTTTCTTCATCTATCTATATTAGGGTTTTTTTGTTTTTTTTTAAGCTTAACAGAATTTTTAAAAAAATCCATCAAAGCTAGAATAATGCGCTCTGCGCAGGTGAGTTACGCGGCCAGAGGGATATAGTATATGGGCCTAATCGTAACGATCAGTGGGCTATTTAGTTAAAATTCGTTAATTAACTTTTTTAATAATGAAAATAGACATATATATATATATATATATATAGTTTCCACTAGAAACCTGCTCAGCGTTATAGAAAACCACCAAATCAGCCATTTTCAGAAATACTTTGAACGCGTGAGGAGCGTAGTAGTCCACTAAAGTTACAACTTGTGGAGCAGGTACAAGAATGGGGCTAGATAAGAGAGGGAAAAATTACGCGGGCGCCTTACCGCAACCGCCAGTCTTGCACCTACTCCGCAAGTGGTAAATTTAGTAGACTATATATATATATATATATATATATGTATGTATATGTAGATGAATAGATATAGGTAGATAGGCGCTACATGGGCCCGAGATTTAATTTAGACATTTTATTTCCAGTCTTATGTTTTGAGGAATCTTACACAGAAAAAAAGAACGTTCTTACATTTGTTTTAATATTGACGAAATGCAGTGCTGCCTACCTGGAGGTAATCAACGGTGCTGTTCACAAACGTCCAGAAAAGAACCAGGGCATTCGATGTTCCTTCGGATGCGCGAACCTTCAGTCCAGGGGCAAGTGGCACTAAGGGAAACGGGAAGCACATAAAACTGACATTATAGTGCTGGTGTTTTTTTTTTGTGTACAGTCTCGAACACTATAAAAAGCTCATTCGACGACTCCGTTTTTGTACCGTGCCGAATTCACTACGTCCAGGCCCAAACTGCTTGTAGTAAAAAAAGAAAATAAACTTTTGTTGTATTTTCTATCTAAAAATAAAGTTCCCTTGCCAACGTGTGCTTAGCACAGCCGGATAAACTGCATCTTCGAATGGGTCTTTCATATAATGTATGGAATAAATAGTTGACTTTTTATAACAGTTAATTCTTCTCGCATTTATCTGTTACGTCAGAACAGGCAGTATGCTTGTGCATGTATGAATTTATAAGATAGAGCACAAGTGGCGTTATAGTCTGCACTCAGTCACACCAAAGGAAGGACTTGGATTCATATACGTATTGTGTCTGTCTGCGTTAAATTCTTGTTGGGGATGGTTTTAACTATTTAATCGGTAATTATTAGTTCCCTTGTCCTTTTTATATTCGGCCATTTACTGATAATTTCGAAGTGTTGTGACAAAGGTTGGATTTAGTTAAGTATCGCGTCTAGATCTATAGCGATTTGAATTTGCCTGGAATTGATTCGAGAATTGATATTGTTTCTAGTTCAACACACGTAACTTAAAAAAAAGCGGACGGTCCGTTTCCCTTATAAAAATATTTTTTTTTATTAAAATTGACTTTGGGGATTGGTGCGGACACGTACTGGTCCTATGTTTATCAAAAAACTTTCTACTGTAAGCAATCGATTTACAGCCGACAATTATCACCCGCCATTTATTGCTAAATTATTTTTATCATCCGGAAAGGGTGCCAAAAGACATATTCTAAGAGAAAGAGACCCCCAAATGAACGTCCCCTTCCAAAGAAAAAGAAAAAAAGGAAATAAGTGTCCCAGGGGGCGAGTGGCAGAAAGTTTTCCCATGTGTTGGGACCCATTTAAAAATGGGAGGGGTTATACCTCGCCAATTTTCCGCAGCTCTGTAATCGAATTGAGTTTTGTAGTGATTTAATTTGGATTGTTCATTTTGGAATGAAAAGAATTATGGGGTTTCATTTCGGCACACTTGTGCGATGCTCAGAATATGAAATTTGGAGGCATTGTAAGTCACAGCGATGAGTCCTTCAACAGTCGAACCTTCTTCAGCGTGCATTTTGCACCGCTGTGTTTGGTTTGCTCAGCAAGAACAAATCGCAATCACCACCAGCATTTAGTAAGATGACGGCACGTGCAAAAAATGCATGTTAATCAGTTCAATTTCTGGCGAAATTCGATGTTCGCAACACTAGCAAAAATAGACGTCGAAATTGTAAAGTTGTGAGTATATATAGCAGTCTCGCGATTATATGCGGTAGCCTAAAGTGCTGTTTATACTGAAACGTCGACAAAAGCCACGCGCTGCGGCGCAGACCGACGTTCGTCGGCCACTGCTCCACGTGACGCCGCGCCGAGGAGCGCCCGAACGACCGTGCTTAGAGTCCAGCGTAGAGCAGCGCAGTCCAGCGCAATACACCGCGCCCCGACAAACTGCCACACATTGCGCATGCGCGTCTCCGTGGCAACCGCATCGTCTCTACACCGTATTTCCGCTTCCTAGTCGGTACCGATTATGATATTGGTCAGTGTGGTTTGTCCCCATCGTGTAGTCAAGCTTCAAAACAACTAGTTGGGGCAGTGGCTAGCAGCATTTATTTTCTCCGAATTGTCACACAAATATCATCGGGGAAAAAAAATACTAGTGCGTCCGTCCAAGCTAGCTGCTTCGCAGGTTCGCCAGAGTCGTGCCAAGCGACTCCGGCGACTCCGCCGGAATGCTGCGATGAAGTCGATGCGCTCGATATAACACAACCACCTTTTTCTGACAGATGGCCAGTGCGTTATCATTACAGTAGCCTTTCAGGCTGACTCAAACAACAAATGTACGCGTTCAAAATTGTATTGCACTCTACAGAACCCACGAAAAAGGACAGAGGATTCGGTCCTAATTTCATCGCGTACCGCTACTCTCGTATACAGGCTGAGAAACTCCAGTTGAACATTTCTGGCCGGCTAAGCTCTTAAAGGGTTTCACTGGGTCCGCCGTTCGCGTACCTTCGACGTTGCTTGTTGTTTCGATCGGGAACAGCTACCGGCGCGTACGACAAGCACTTGATCATATATAGCACACACATTAAGCCATCCTTAATTCTAATTACCTTTACCTTTGGTGGGTCAACGAGCTTCTAGATTTTGCTCGCAGCCCACCACCACCGGCTTGATAGGCACACAGGTGTCATTTCATCTCTATGTGTTTCTTTTTGCGGCATCGTGTATCGAATTATTTTTAAGAATACCATTTATTATTTTTCGTTCTGCACGTTTCGTGTATTTGCCTTCAGGTCTATAATGTGAGCAGAAAGTCCTTTTTGGCATACCCTGCGAGACCCCGTGTTTCGCAAACAGCAAACAAAAACGCACGTTTCCGCAGACCGGCTTAACAGCTTGCGTATTTGCGAGTTTAGTCCTCCCCTATCGGTCTCAGGTCATGTGAACTTTATACAGCCACATCTGTTGATAATTAAAAAAATTATATATTTAATTACTGACTGAATATTTAACCTGAAAAAGGGTTGATAAACTTAAGATTAATAAGAAAATGCACCTACCACTTATCTGAACGATACTCTGCAAATGTTTTGTCGTTTTTATCCTCTATAGGCACCTGTATAGCTGATTTTGGAGAGCCCTAATATATATATATATTTTTTTTATTTTGAATTTGATTTTAACAAATCTGTTCCTGAAGCATAAAAAACCTTCGCAAACATAGATAAGTATTTCTTATTTATTGTGATGGACAGCAATTTTATGTGTCTGTGGGCTGGGACAAAATCAAAGTACACAGGGGCACGCGGTGGAACTATGACAAGAACAAACGCAGACCGTCAGAAAGTGACGAATTAAGCAGCTGCCATGTCGACTAGAGCATGAAGTACTTTTTAGTTTTATTTAACAAAAATCGCCAATCAGCAAGGGTGGCGCTTATTTACAAATTGAGTTAACTGGCATCTTGTCAAAAACAAACCTCAGCAGCTAGGCTTTGACAGTTTACCCTGTGTAAGAACGTTTTTCTCGGGTACGCGGTGTTCTAGACCAGATTCAATCTAAGTACGAAGGGGCGTATATATTCGAGTGAACGATTTTGATCACCCCTTTCTGCCTAATTCTTCGCCTGTATCACGGTGCTGAGCGTAAGCAATGTTGGTTAGGAAAACAAGCGTCATGATTGCCGCTCGCAGCTTCTATAAAAGGTAAGCTGAAAGGGCTGGTCCTAAAATGTTCGTGACATTTTTAAAATATTATTTCCTTTACCTCACCCTAGTGAAATTCTTATTTGCATAAGCAATTTCTTGATCCAGTAAACGCATTTGATCAAATAAGATCATAGAAGTGCATACAAGAACCTTTAAGAACAATGTAAGATTTTATAAGGCGCTGTAAGACACCGATAAGATTTTTAAGCGATAAGCTTGGAAACTTTTTATAACTTGGTATATAATCTTATATTGTTCTTAGTTGTTCTTATGAGGCTCTTGTATGTTCTGATACTCTCTTATTTGACCCTATTCGTTTATTCGACCAATAAATATCTTATACTTATCAGATTTTTACCAGGGAAGTTGCGCCGCCATCATCTCTCTCTCTCTCTATATATATATCTATATATATATCTATATATAAATACAGGGTGTTTTTTTTCTTTATTCTTACACATTTGTTTAAAAAGAACCGTGAAAGCTACACTAATGCGGTTTGTGCAGGTGGGTTATACGGCCCGGCGGACATTATGTGGGTGGCTAATCTTTGCGATAAATCGGCTAATTAATTAAAATTCGTTAATTAACTTTTTCAATTAGTGGAAATAGATATATGATTTCAATTAGAAACTTGTAGAGCATCATCGAAAACCACTAAATTAATTATTTTTGGAAGGATATAACGCCGGGGAAGCATTTTACAGCGTTCTGTAAAAACGCTCCATTTGGACGCGTTTCTAGATTTCGGTTTCTTATCGGAGCGCATCACCGCGCCCGCGGTCCTGCTCCTTAGTGGCTGAGACGCGCAACACACGTGCGGCGTACTTCCCTCCATTCTACGAGGGAGGCGAGGGGGTGGCTTCTCGTCGCGACCACCGGGGAGCAGGATCGCGGGCGCGTAGATGCGCTCCGATAAGAAACCGAAATATAGAAATGCGTCCAAATAGAGCGTTTTTACAGAACGCCGTAAAATGCTGCCCGGTGTTATATCCTGCTAAAAATAGTTGATTTAGGGGTTTTCGATGATGCTCAGCAATTTTCTAATTGAAACCATATGTTTATTTCAAGTAATTAAAAAGTTAATTAACGAATTTTAATTATATAGCCGACTTGTCGCAAAGATTAGCCACCCACATAATGTCCGCATGGCCGTATAACCCACCTGCACAAACCGAATTATTGTAGCTTTCACGGTTTTTTTTAAACAAATGTGTAAGAATAAAAAAAAAAACCTGTATTTATATATATATATATATATATATATATATATATATATATATATATATATATATATACATATTGTGAAATGTATTTTGTAAACCATATTTCAGTATATGATATGGTGACGGTTACTCATTCCGTTATTTTATGCACTGTACTCAATTCCTTGATTCAAGAGCACAACCCCGATTCAACTTTAAATTGTGTGACGTAAAGTTTTAGGAATCATGGGTATTTTGCGCGACCAATCACACTTCGTGGCAACCTTTCGATTCAGGTAAAACGTAGGTGATTGAGGTAAACAAATATGTGTTCGTACAAGCAAAACATTTTATATGGTAATCTAGATTTTCTTTTTCTGTTGCGTTAAAATTAAGTAACGCAATTTCTTCTTTTTGGTGGCTCAAAATAAAAATTAATTGTACAAATGACAAAACAAAACAAAAAAAAAAAAAACTTACGATAGTTATTTGTGTTACGGCAGAAATAATGTCTTTTGCCAGAACGATGCGACAAATCGATTCTCAATTTTGCGGTTCAAACTGGTTCGAACCGATTCGAAGCTCTCTGACCGTTATTTTTGCACCCTGGAACTGAGCCGGAACTGAAGCGAAAACAGTGAACCCGAACCCGAAAGGAACCGAAAAACATTTCTTGTGGACACCCTGGTTTTAGAGCTACCCAATGGGTTGCACTGCTGTATTCTCTCGTCGCAAGGAATCCGTTGTAACCCACTTCGTCAAAGTGAAATGCAAATGTGCGAGCCAGCAGTTTTAACGTCCTCAGGCTCAACTTTTCTTGAACACAGTATCCAACAATATTCTTGATTTTTTTTAGGGTGTGAAAGGTATATCTAGGGTATATAATGCTAGAAGAGTATTCATGCTCACCTTCTTTCCATGTGGTAACTTGCGCAGCGGCAGCAGGGCCCAACTCAACGCGACCGTCGGTGCGTTTTATACTTGCTCGAACTTGGATATCAAAAATGGTGTCAGGGCTGAGATTGTTTACGCAGATGCTGTTGGCCGATGTGTAGCTCTCACGGCAGGACGACGCTGATGAACAGTAAAGCACCAGGAATCCGTCATAGTAATCAGCGTCACGGTTAGGAAAAGTCCATGTTACTTGGAAGGAACTCGTGCTGTTCGAAGAAACTCCAGTAATGAGCGGCTCCAGAATAGCTGTAAAATATATTTTAAAGAATGTTAACTCGGCTCGAAAAGAGTGATGCTGTTACACTGTTCTTTCCCTTAATACCAATAGTTCTAAAAGATCTACCGATATCTGCCATCATTACTAGTTTGTTATTTACGTCAATTACCGCCATATTTTAAGAAAACATATTTGACGTTAAAACTGATATGCACCAGGCGCTAAAAAATAAATACAAAGTTGAATACATCAGTTCTGGGTTAGGTAAACAAGAAATCATTAGGACATATGAATGATTGCCCCTACGCGCATGATATAAATTTATTTATTTATTTTGTCCCCCAGGGACCGAAGGCATTACAGAAGGGAATGTACAAAATAATCCAAATAGCATACAAGAAAGAAAAATAGGGAGGTGGATATAAAACAAACAGGTGCTCTAAATATGTACAAAAAACTATTTAGCGGCAGATAAAGCTAACACGAAACTGTTATTCCAAACACAAAAGAAACTCACAAATGGCATCTTTAATTTCAGCGCTTTCGACTATGTCGGCAATAGGTGCGGGAAGGCGATTCCCAATCCTGAGATGTCGTGTTCAGAATAATCAGAATAACCTGCGTTTGCAAAACGTATGTTTTGCAAACGCAGGTTATTCTGAATCCTTGGAGCTAATGAACCGAAATCAATAAAATTGCTTCGTGTTTTATTCAAGATTCTACGAAGATTGTTTTTCTTTCTTTAGATTTACACACTCTCTTAAAATATTATGCTTGCTTATGCATTATCGGTGAAATCATGTCGGTGTAAATTTACGTGTGTTTTTTTCCACAACATCAAAGATTCTGTGGGCTCATTTAGTCCCTAATATGGCTAAGGTTAGGTTACATGAATCAAATTACTAGGTACTGCTCCTCATAGAATGTAATTAAATTGATGTCAAGTTTACTCCAATAGAAAGTTAATTTTTATGATTATAAAATAATGATAAAAGCCAAAGGCACAAAAAATTAATGGACCGTCTTATACTCAAATGCTAAAATATTAAATTAGTTTTTTTTATTGCTGTACAGGGTATTTCATGGAACGTCACCGATACGAAAATATTTTTCGTGCCGTGCGTAGTTTTCACAGAAACGATTTGGCCGGCTTTCTATGAAACACCTTGTCTAGGAATTCAGGCGAGCTGGACGTTGATAGGTAATCAATTACCTTTCACTACCTCAAAATGTACATTTTTAAAGAAATTGTAGTGCAAATCATGGCAAATATATTGCGTAAACTAAGATTACGAATGAATACCAACCTATGGGTTTCGTAACGGCCGAAGTGGTCAGTGAGCCACTGCAACCATCCAAAGAACATGCCTCCAATTTTACAGTGCAGATTGTAGACGGAGGCAGTTTATCCACAATAACGCTGCGTACAGAAGATTCCATGACCAACCCGTCAACCAAAATGGGAGCTTGAACCTTCAAGGAAGTTGCAAATGCAAGCATTTAAAACAATTAAAATAAACAATTTTGAGTGGCGCAGAAACTGCATTATATATACGTGTAAATATTATTGGCGGCTTTATTTGAAGCATAAGACTCGTACTTTGTTTGGTATTTTGGATTGCCTCAAGTTACATATACCGAATAATTTGGAGGAGGAAAAAACTTTTCTTTTCACATTCAAAAGTAAATTAAATTTTTCCAAAAGTTTAATTTCTGCTTGGATGCATCACTAGTGGTTGAGACTAGATTTCTAAGGTTCACAACGTGCACTTGCGTCATTCCAAAGTTATGAGCTATTTTTTTTTAAAACTTGAGCACGCATATCCGTCTACATTCTGCAGCAGACGCCATCATCTACGTTTGTCGGGATCTATGTTGGTCACCATTGCTTCATAAAAAAGTTCTGAAAAACGCTTATAACTTTTGAATTGGACAACGGCAAATTCTAAAGTGTTATCTGAACCCCAAGCGCCAGTGCTACATTCGGGCGTAGACTCTACGTCTGACAACGAGTAATTAATTCTTGTGGTGAGGAAACCACGGTTCTCCTTTCTTCCAAACGCCCGGCATTGAAGCCTTATGTCAGCAAAAACAAAAGTAAGATTTTAAAGTCTGATTTATTCGATGGTTTGTCTACAAAAACATTATGACGAGCACGGTGAAATCTCATATTTGGGCTGCTCGTCATTAAACGGACACTGCAAGAACTTTTTTACTGGTTTTTAATTTGCATCGAGTCTGAGCGCACTGAACGTAGTAACTTAATTAAACTTTTCTTTTTCTCAAATTTCGCTTTATTTTGAAAGTTATAGGCAAAACAAAATGACAAAAGCGAGCAAAAAATAACCTCCTTCATTACGTCCTTGGTTGCTTGAGCGGCCGTGAACTAGAGAGGGGGGGGGGGGGGGGGGGGGGGGGCAGTGAGCTCCGCGAGCGGTCACCGCTGCCGCACTCCGTGTCGACGGCTCGAGAGGGCGCCACGAAGCTAGTTCTGGCTAGGCTGTATGAATCCGGCAGCCAGGGTGGCTCGCACTACATTTGCTGCGCGATTAAAGACTAATTCGGCATGAAACTTCACTGGCCACAAACGACAGCCAACGCGGGGTAAAAATCAGTTCAGAACGGGAGACACTTCGCGCTGCCATGCCACCAAAAGGCCAAACCGCAAGCCAAACCGCAAGCCAAACCTGCTTGCCGAAGGCCTTGGGAACACTCGGAACCGGTCGGATCCTGCAGTCCATATGCTCGCAGCGCCGCCGCGTACATCCGGGACCTTTCCACGCTCGCCGCTCGTTGGTGCCTGATCCAACTACACCCTTCTAGTATGCGCCGCCTTTTCCATTACTTGGCGGCGGGTATGTCGACGGGTGTTTTTCTTGTTTTCGTACTTTCTATACTGCATTTGTTTCTTTTCTGTCTTAAAATAGTGAACAAAAACTACTTTTATAAATAATTGAAACGGTTCGCGCCACTTATATATTGTATTTCGACTAAAAAGAAGCTTTTAGCGGCTCTGACCAGTAGTAAGCCTAGTACCAAAGACGTCACATATCGCGAGCTTTCGGGACCGCGGGTCGCCCCCGTGAGTGGAGGAGGTTTCCGCTTTGTCGGGTTAAAATATGACGCACTGATATTTAGTTACTCTCTCCCTGCCCGCTGGCTTGCCCGAACCTCAAGAGACGTGGTATCCGCAAAAAAGGTAGTCGCTTAACTATGAATGCAGGGCCCCTTTAAAGGAGCCGTGCAACGATATTCAATTGGAATGTTTTTCTCTCTACACGAGCTTACTGGCACACCTGGGACGCAAGGATACTCACACGCAACGCCATTGGTCAAGAAACTCCTTTGTTGCGGTGTAATTTCAAGGACAAAAGCGACCATTTTCATTCAATCTCTCCTTTGCAAAATTTGATGACGTAACTCGGGGATCGCAGTACACCCAAGTGACGATATTTGAATGCGGTTCATAGATTGGACCCGAGCATTGCGTGGGCACTCGACTTGGGCTCGTGACAATTGCTAGCTCGAGAAGCATTCGGGTTGTGACCAGTGTCCAATCGCTGCAACGACGACAACAGCCGAGCCATAACAATGTCTGGAACTCAGCGCGTGTCCTGCGCTTTGCCAACCCCAGCGCGTGGCTATGATGAACACTGGCGGCATATAATCGGCTCCAGATCACGTGGCCGCTTGTTATGGCTGCGAGTTGAGGGGGTGAACGCTGCTCGTTTTTCTTTTATTTTTTTCTGGGACTTCTATTGCGTGGGGTGAAAAACGAACGCGTGTTTCATAGGTCATTAACGTTAGGGATCCGTTTTAAGCGGTATTTGCGCAAAGTACAAAAATTGTTGCATAGCTCCTTTAATACTCAGTTTTGCTGGTTTTTACGTATAGAGAGAAAAAAAAAAATCTACTCACAGTATACTTTAAAAAAATTTATGGAATGCAGTTATGGTTTAATTGAGGTAACTACTTGAATAAATTTTATACTTAAAATAACATAACAAACAACCTAATCTGAACTTTGAGTGACATATTTGTACACTTGTATAGTTCTGATTCGTCATTACAAATTACTGTGAGACTACATAATCACTAAATATTGAGCGTATGGCTGTTAATATGACGACAAATATTAAGGTTAAAAGAACTATATTTAATTTCCAACGCCATCACCAAAAAAGGTTTGCAGGAATGATTGCCTTGTTTAATTGTCACGTGTTCAGAATGCGAGAAAGGGCAGGACAATCGCTCATCCCCATTATCAAACGGATGCCTTTAAGTGCATCTCCATTGCTGGGACAATAACAAAATAAAACTCTCTCCCGGATGATGCGGTTAGTTACTGTGACGTTAATAGATTAGAGCTATATTTGCGCAAACACTTACTTTATTCATGAATCTGAAATATGTTTTTTTTTTCAGAAATACGTAGGAAGTGACCACCCTGCCTGCACACACATACCTACCCGTTTTAGTATATAAATGTTGAACGAAAGGTTCGGAGAATTGTACTTTAGTAAGTAACAGATATTAGAAAATTTTGACCTGAATTCGTAGCGGTTTTTATTGCCCAGTTTTTCTAATTAAAAGGATAGCTGAAATTGCGCTATTTATTATTTTTCCTAGTAGCTTGAGGGAAGGTTCCGGAGGACTAAATATTTTATAGGATATTAAGTGGATCATTAAACAGCATATTTGTTCAAAATTTGTTTTTTTTTTTCATTCGTTATGTTTAACTAAAATGAGTTGTACGTTCTGGCAGCCAACTATTCCAGTCGACAAACTACCAATTTAGGATGACGCAAGTTTTGTTTTGAAAAATAATGGTAGCAGAAACGTTTGTTTTTTATGTTTTTTTCTTGATTGTAAATAAGTTTCTATATTGTTTATGATATTATTTATTTGCGTTCGGGAATACAGCAAACTCAATACTATATACACGCGCAAAAAATAATGTTTTATTCATAGGAAAAGTTGACATAAACCTTAAACGAACTTTCATTCTGTGATGTGAGACGGGGTGCACTTACTCTGATGGGGTAAACGTTCTCAGAATCTTCAGGTTGAATGGAAGTAATATTCTGATCGTAATGACTTACAGTCACCTGTAATATAAAGAGCAACACTTCCATAGTATTTGCCACTTTCATAAAGGACACAGTATTATAGGAAATAAATTGATTGATTGATTGATTGAAAATGACCTTTCGGTACTCACAACGGCTAGTTTTCCAAATTTCTAGATAAGACAATATTGTAAGCAAATGCCGTTTAGTTCACACACGTTGCTTTATACATTTCAATTCTTCGACTACAACTCTGATGAAGAGCAGGGAGCAGCTTCTGTTGCCCTGCCTTTAGCGCAAGCTTTGTACCTTCGATGACGATTCGCGTCTCGTGCGGCCCAAGCGCGAACGCGCAGTCAAAACGTCGTAGAGGCTGCAGGTTAAAAGGTTTCTCGCTGCTGTAGTGGCTCTGTAAGCGACTAAAGCTATCGTTCGGCTAAATTGTTTCGACTGATAACGGTTAGCAAGAAGGGTGCTTGAATTGGCAAATGTAATAAACGATGAGGGCTCCTCCTCACTGCAACAAACGATACGTCCACGTAGTTTATCAACTGAACAATAGCAATATATATCTCTAACCTAACAAATACCTACGCCATATTGAAAGGCAAATATCTGAATCTACAGCCTATTCGTTTTGTGAATATATCCCAGTTTTACAAACAAAACGTTTTTGCTAACTAAAGTTTTATGCATCGGCATTATAACTAATTAACTCAAGCTGTGTTAAGTTCTATTCGTGTGTAAGCATTTGAGAAATGCTTGAAAAACCTTACGTGTTTTCACATATTCAATGATTTACAAACAAAATTTAGTATACACAGCCTCACGCATTATTCATCCTCGGTTTGATCACCTCAATAATCCATTCTGGGACAGCGTCACGAACTAATACCAAATCGGCCGTGTAATAGGCACGGCAGCTCCGCTCCTGGGGCATACTGTATATAAGGCACCACGGTGCGTTCAATAAACGCTGTTCACCTCGCTACTTGCCTACGAGTCATATGGTGTCAAAAGCGCTTTATCGCTCGAGCGCCGCGGTTCGGTGGACCAGTAGCCGAGCGACAGAAAGTATGCGATATCCACCCCATCCGAAAAGTGGCGTCTTCACAGCAGGCCATCGTGCTGTCCTGCACAACGCTACTACTCCCTTAATAACACCTCGACACGTCCGGAGACGTGTGGCGCAGCTGTAAAACTTGAAAATGTGAGTTTAAACTGTTTTCTACTGCTACTCTACTCCACCATCAATGGAAATAAGTCGAGGCGGCGACCCTGTTAATGATAATAGAGGAAGATGAAAGGAAGTCGTTCAGCACATTCACGTTTGCAGACCAGGACGAGAGACAAGATGTGGAGACTATCATTGAGAAG